AAGGTATACGCTGGGCGGCCGCCCTTCCACCCCTTCCCTGTCGCAAACACGGGTGCTGGTATGGATGGCGAATCGGGTTTCTCCTCCGAGGTATGGTAATGCCGCGGCGTCCATGCCCAGATGCCCGCGAATAGGAGGAATATGAAGCCGGCGCCGACAATGCCCTGCAGCTTGCGGTTGGTCTTGAGGTGCGTGCCGAGTTGTTGGTACTTGTAAGTGTATTGGGGCGCCATCGCGGCGACGGGAAGCAGGTGTGTGAGAGGCGAAAGTGCTCAGGAGGCGGCGGCGGTGGGAGAAGCGATATTTATCATGAGACGGAAAGGGTGCTCACAGGGCAAGGTTAAGGGCACAGCTCAGGACAATCTTTACGGAGCTCTGTGCGACGCGTAGGCAAGAATATGCATCCTTGTCGGATACGAAGATCTATAAGCGTCGCGATCTGCTTTGCTTTTTCTGCGACAACTTATGATACTAGGTATACATTTTAGCTTTTCGAAAGTCTTCATGTTCATTGTGTAGATACTAGGTATACATTGTATTCATTCAAGGATAGTTCATGTTGTTTCGTCATTTAGTCCACAGCTGAGTAACGCTGGTGTGTTGTGTTGCCGTCGTAGCTCAGCCCTGCGGAACCAAACGTGTCACCAACTTTTTAGAGCTCCAACTGAATCAACTCTCTGGCCTCCGTCGCCGCACACACCGCCTCACAAGCACAACTCCGCTCCACCCCGCCGCGCCAGACCACACCATGAATATCTTCCGGATCTCCGCAGATCTCTTCCACCTAGCGAGTATCTTCATCTTGCTGTATAAGATGAAAACATCGCGGGTGAGTGCGGGCTGAGAGGGGGGAGGTTGGATGAGGTGGGTGAGGGATAGGTAACTGATGTGACGACGATACTCTAGACGTGCGCAGGAATCTCGCTCAAATCGCAATGTCTTTACCTCGTCGTCTATGTTACACGCTACCTCGGTTCGCCTCCTCCCCTCACTGTCTCCGGTGTGTTCGTGGGTGCGGGGTGAGGATAGGTACTGACCAAGTCAGACATCTTCACGACCTTCAACCGGTCCTACTACAACGACCTGATGAAGATATTCTTCGTCGCGTCTTCCGCCTACACAATCTACCTGATGACGACCACGTTCAAGCCCACGCACGACCCGGCCATCGACACCTTCCGCGTCGAGTTCCTCTTTCTCGGCGCCGGCCTGCTCGCCCTCGCCTTTCCGTACCAATACAGTTTCTCCGAGATCCTGTGGAGCTTCAGCATCTGGCTCGAGAGCGTTGCCATCCTTCCGCAGCTGTTCATGGTCCAGCGAACGGGCGAGGCCGAAACCATCACGACGCACTATCTCTTCGCCCTGGGCGCCTACAGAGCGCTGTACATCCCGAACTGGATCTGGCGGTATGTGGTTGAGGGACATGTGGACCACATCGCGCTGCTGGCGGGCATCGTGCAGACGGTGCTGTACTCCGACTTTTTCTACATATACTATACGAAGGTTATGAAGGGGAAGAAGTTTGAGCTGCCGGTTTAGAGGATGGGGCAGCTGCCGGTTGGGTGGGGGGTGGGAACAGTGTACGCAATTCTTAATCCGCACCGAGTGTGCTCGTGGTGGGAGAACCTTGTTCGTCTGCCGCTCAGGGCTTTCCGACCTCCCAGGCGGCGGCGGCCCTTTAGGTGATGGCCTGTACCGTAAGAAGATCAAGCTAGCGGAGGTGTTGGTACATGTATGGAGGTGAGATGCTGGTAGGCGAATTTTTGGTGCGTAGCGGGCGTGTTCTTCTGTCCTCCTCCGTACCTTTCTCTCGGTCGCTATTATGGTGTGCGATTGAAGTGGCCTGAAGGTCATCAAACATGGTGACATTGCATTCATGTGCCAGTCAATTCCATTTCCCCTCACTACTCTACATGACCATCGATACAACGTAGGCAATTGGTATTTGGTATATATTACACCACCGCAAGAAAGCATCTGTCCACAGGGAGAAAAGAACAAGAAAAGGCATAAACACATCTTAGATCACTCCACCGCCTACACTTCTATTCCGCCATCTCAACGTCCTCATCCTCTTCCTCGTCGTCTGCACCAATGAACGTAAGTTTCGTGCCGTTCTCACTAATCTGCCACACATCCAGCCCCTCGTACTCCTCTACACACTTGACCAACGCGTCCTCGGTGAATCCCTTTGCCAGAACACGCTCGCGGATGACACGCATGAGGACCTCGCTGCCCTTACCGGCCGCGGTGCGGATGATCCGGTAGATCTTGGAGGACATCGTCACGTCAGCACCAGTGTGCGAGTCGGTGTCGTACAGAGATGCCTTGGAGACTTCGATCAGACGGAGCGCCTCGTCGACGTCTTCCATCACGACGGTATCGGAGAGGCGCAATCGTGCCAGGGCCTGGGCCAAACGCAAGATACCTAGAAGGGTACGGGGCGAAGTGTGCGAGAAGTGCCTGGACTACAATTAGAAAGCATTCTGATGGGCGGAATTGGGGGGATCTTACTTCTTGCCACCCTCCTCCTGCTTCCCCAGCTGCCGTAAACGAACATACGCCTGGGTGACGTAGTCCGCAACTTCCTTGGGCACGGTGGGACGGTGCTGCCTAGCCTGCGCAATGTATGCCCTCATCTCTGCTGGCGACAGAGGCTCAAAGTCCATCTCGGGGTGTCGGTTCTCCATGTGAACGAAGGTAACGTGGCGAGCAAGCTCCTCATCGTTCTCGCGAGTAGGGGTATCCAAGATCAGAAACAGGATGTCGAAACGAGAGAGAAGGGCAGCGGGTAGATTGATGTTCTCAACGGGTGAGATCTTGGGGTTGTAACGGCCGTAGAGGGGATTGGCGGCTGCAAGGATCGATGTACGTGCGTTCAGTGAAGTCGTGATACCGGCTTTGGAAATCGAGATGGTCTGCTGTTCCATGACTTCGTGGATAGCTGTACGATCCGAGTCGTCCATTTTGTCGAACTCATCGATACAACAGATACCATTGTCGGCCAGAACTAGGGCACCTCCCTCCAGCACCATCTCGTCTGTGACGGGATCCCGCATGACCGCAGCAGTCAAACCGACTCCCGAGGAACCACGACCAGAAGTGTAAATACCTCTGGGCGCAACCTTGGTGATGTACTTGAGTAATTGCGACTTGGCCACACCGGGATCTCCCATGAGACAGACGTTGATATCACCACGAATCTTCATTCCATCGCCCATTTCCTTGGTCACACCACCGATGAGAAGAAGCAGAAGACATTTCTTGACATCTTCGTGGCCAAAGATTTCTGGTGCGATCGAACGTGAAAGTGTGTCGTACAAGTTGCCGTGGCTGCGGAGCTCCTCGAAACGTTGCCTGGTCTTCGCATCAAGACCGACTTCATCATACTGCTTCTTGTGCTGCTCAGCGTGTTGCAGCTCAAGGTAGGTATCCGTCAGCAACCCCGCCTTGATGGCCTTAAACCCGGTGTAAGGTGTCGGCAAGAAGATTCCGGCCATATCGACAATGTCACCCGGATTGACGGTACGGCACAGCTCACCGTGAGCCTGAATTGTAAGACTGCGGGGTATGTGACCGACGGGCACTTGTTCCGCCAACTCCTGAATCTTGATTTCCTGGAAGGCCAGGAATTTCGAAGCACGAGTGGATGGAAAGAGCTGTCCCCTGGCTTGGTTGTCCTGGCACTCTTTCGACGGACAATCAATCATTGGTGTAAAAGACTTTGTCTTGATCTCCTGGAAGATTTCGCTTCCGCATCGATCACATGTGTATGCATTGACAATGACGGCCGGTTTGACGTCCGAAACTCGAGTCGCAATACCCCGGACAGTTATGAGATGTCCCAAATGTTCACCACGGACCTGGCGCACCGCCAGTGCTTTGTTTCCGGAGCCGCTTGGGTGTAGGGGTTTGAAGAAGACCTGGTATCGGCGGGTCAACTCGGCGGGGAAGTACTGAGGCTGGCCATCGAAAGCCGCCGAGCCATCCTCCTGCCGAGTCTCAGCGGCAGCATTGCGAGCGCGGCGCTGGGCGAGGATAATATCGAGAACATCGTCGTTATATCTTGAGGACGTCAGCCTGGGAGTGCAGCGCGACAAAGACACATCATCGGGGGTCGTACGTGGAATCCACTGATGTTGGCGGCATCACAGCATCGATCGCTCTCGAGAAGATGTCGATGTAGTGTGCAGTGTTCTCTTGTATCGACCTTGACCAAGCGAAGGGACTCTGGACTATTTGCCTCGTACTGGAGCATCGTCAGACCCAACCCTCATCTTTAGTCCGGGTGATCAACGCACCTCCTTCAGATCCTCCAAATCGATGACAACGGATGGCCGCTCACGGTTCGCGATTTCCTGGAGAAGCTCCATGTACTTGGGCTTGAGTTCTGGCTCTGGTTGCCGTTGTCGAGGAGCTCTCTGTGCCTTCCTCCCGCCACGACGCCGCGGCGTGTCCTGAATTTCTTCCTCATCATCGACCACCTGCAGATTGGATAAGCGCATCGCGAGCGGCTTCTTCGGTGGACCGTGTGGATTTGAAACTTTTTAGGAAGTCCTGGAATGCCGCTACAACAACATTTACTTGTCAGCTATCGTGGTTCCGCATGTCCCCTGGACTGACGTCCCTCCAATTGCCACGCCAGTCTCTTTGGGAAGGGTATAGTGGCATGTGAAACAACGCACCTTGTTGCTGATCATAATCGATCCCGATGTCAATGACTGGAAGAGCCATAGGTCACGATGAGTAGGGAATGTAGCGAGTGGTCTTGGAAGTGGTGATTATCGGTTGGTATTGTTTGGGGGAGTTGGTGGTTTGTTGTCTTGGGGACGGGCGAGGGTAAAGTACAGTGGAGTAGAGTAAGGTAAAGTACAGTAGATCGTCAAAACGCGTCGCGCGTTTGGGCTTGGGGGGCTTGGAGGGCAGTTTCGTTCCTGGCTCAAGGCTTTGGCTGCCATTCCAGACTGCCTCTTCCGCCAGCCAGCAGCCAATCATATCACCCACTTACTTCGCTGCCACTCCTCGATCATGCCGCCATACGTTTTCGAGTCTAGGGTTGTTTGCACCTTCCTCCGCATCCTCCTATGCTTTATGATTCGGTGCCGCAAACAGTTCTTCACGAACTCAAGCACACCCACATGGCATGCTTCCATTACTCGGTCACGGCAGCTGCTCTAGTAGTGGTTAGATCCAACTACAAGTGAGGGCACCACCACCACCCTCCGCCACACCTCCGCCACCACTACCACCGTGGCTGATCGCCGAATTGCCGGCCCGTGGTCTCAGTTGTCGCACCAGAGAACTCGGCCTACCCTACTCTACCTACTTGTACCTTCTAGTGCACGTGTATGTACCTATCACAAGCAGCAACATCACATCCACCGTGCCGACTTCTACATACGCGCCCCTCACCCATCCCATAACCATCACCAACCATCACACCAACGATGCCTCACGCCGCCTCCGCCAACCGCCCTCCGTCAACACCGGGCAACAGTGTTCCTGACTCCGCTTAAGAACTGCCTGCTGACCCTCCCCAGCCTCACTCGTCTCAGTGCTCGTCTCCCAGAACACCCCCCGCCCAGAATGTAGTCGTCGAGATACCTTCCGCGGCTCGACCATGGGCAAGCGCTTCGTCCTCGCAGCGCACAGCGTACGCGGGATGGACGGAATGCAGAGCAAAGCGGAAGCCGACGGCTGGCACGCCCATGCGCGCCGGCGAGGACGCAGTAATAGAGATGGATCCGGCATTGGCAAAGAACATAGGAGTGACAGAGGGGTCTAAGGTAGCAACTGATCTTCACGCCATGGCTCAATGTTATAGTTCTAAGCTTGTGAAAACTAGGTATCCATCCAGATACACGTTGATCCGCCGGCAGCGCACACCCTCCACATTGAACCTCTCACGGCGAGCGATTGGGAGATCATCGAATTGCACGCGTCATTCCTCGAGCTCAACTTGCTATCCCAGATCCGTTGTGTGACCACCGCCCACCCGCTCTCGGTGTACCTCTCGCCCACGTCGACCGCGTCTATACGGCTGACGAAGGTGGAGCCCGAGTCCGCGCTGTCTGGCCCTAACGGCTTCGCCAAGATCTCTCCCGACGCAGAAATCATTGTTGCGCCGAAGACCAGACAGCGGCGGCCTAGTAGGGGCGCAAAATCGACTACGAGTACAGCTCGGACCTCTACGAGGAGAAGACCTGAAGGTGCCTCCGTGTCTACGGGAAAGACGGCGCTATTCTTGAGGGGCGTGGTGCTGCCGACTGTGCGGCATGTCCCAGTTGCGGACGAGGAGCCCGATCATGAGGAGGAGAATGACGAAATGAATGGTGGGGGCCGTGGTTTCACGGTGTATCTGGACCCCAGTGCGATCGCATCAAAGCAGCTGCGGAACACGTCGAAGGTTGTGGTGTCGATTGTTCGGCCGCCGTCGCTGCTACCTCCGAAGGACCCTTCGCAGCAGCAACAGGAACAACAGGGCGACAAGGACAAGGACAAGAAAGATTCCGAGATTGCCGCGGCGACAAAGATAGTAGCCAACGTCCGACCGTGGGATTTTGCGCCGGATGCGAAACATGTAGCACTCTCCCGTCTTTTGGCAGCTTCCCTCCATCTCTTCGAAGGAGAAGTCGGTCCCATGGTGCGCCTTGAGGCCGCGCTGCAGCCGGTTCCTCACAAGATACTCGCCAAGGTCAAGATACATCCGTTTACGAAGGGGGGCAAGGAGGACGGCGTGAGATGGGGCGGAGGAACCAAACGATTGGAGGAAATGGCCATCTCTCGAATCCAGGACGTATTGGGACCCAAACGGCTGCGGAACGGCACAAATGCGATGATTGAGGAGGACTTGGCTTCTGTTTCTCCCGGCGAGGGTATTCTAGAGGGCCCGCTTACCGATGGTATGGTGCTTCCGGCGATCGAGGACTCGCCGATTGCCTCCGGTGGAATAATCAAACTCGAGGTCACAACGATCGAGGGAGCCGATGCTTCTCAAGCACCGTTGTTGAAATGGTTCATGGCCGGTGACAAGAGACCTACTATCGAGATTGCCTCACATATCCCCAAACCACCGGCGCCAGCGGTTCCGGAGACAATGTTTGTGCCGGATGAAGAGGACGAAGTGGTTGGGGTAGATGCTGTTCTCCAATCGGTTACCGAGAACCTTCTTTCTGCGTCGTCGGTGCTTTTGGCTGGTGCTCACGGTTCTGGTAAAACCTCCGTCGTGCGGTTGATTGCGAAGAGGTTGTCCGGCGCACCGCACTTTTACCGGGTAGTTGACCCTGGGACGCTCTCTAAACTCGCGGATGAGCGAGTAGCTGTGGTTAAAGAGAATCTCATCCGGTGGTTGTCGGAGGCAACTTGGATGGCAGGCAAATCATCTCGCAGTATTCTACTCCTGGATGATCTGGACCGGTTATGCGCCACTGAATCCGAAAATCAGGACAACTCGCGGGTTCGACAGCTCGCAGAAGTTGTTGTTTCCACTATCAAGAAATTTACAGCTGGCAAATTGGTGGTTGTCCTCGGTAGTTGCCAGGCAAAGGAGAGTCTCCACAGTCATCTGGTTAGCACCCATGTTTTCCGGGAAACCATCGCCCTGAAGGCCATGACCAAGGAGGGTAGACGGACGGTACTGGAGGGAATCGTAGCTACCCGTGGCGGCGTGCATCCGAGTCTGGACTTCCGGTTGATTTCAGCCAAAACCGAGGGATACATGCCAGGTGATCTCGCGCTCCTTGTGGATCGTGCTCGCCACGAAGCTGTAGTTCGACTGGTCGATAGCTCCGACTCCACGGTCGTTAATTCGCTGGTGCTGGGACCCGAGGACTTTGATTCCGCACTAGCCGGCTTTGTCCCTGCTGGTCTCCGCGGTGTCAAACTACAGACCTCCGGAGCTGGCTGGAAAGACATTGGAGGTCTGAAGGAAACACGAAAGATCCTCCTTGAAACTCTCGAATGGCCAACCAAATACGCGCCGATCTTCGCCTCCTGTCCCCTCCGCCTCCGTTCCGGTCTCCTACTCTACGGCTACCCGGGTTGTGGAAAGACTCTCCTTGCGTCCGCCGTCGCCGGCGAATGCGGCCTGAACTTCATCTCAGTCAAGGGTCCCGAGATCCTCAACAAGTACATCGGAGCCTCCGAAAAGTCCGTGCGTGACCTTTTCGAGCGCGCCTCGGGTGCAAAGCCGTGCGTGCTGTTCTTTGACGAATTCGACTCGATCGCTCCGAAGCGTGGACACGACTCTACGGGTGTTACCGACCGTGTGGTCAACCAGATGTTGACGCAGATGGACGGAGCCGAGGGATTGGACGGCGTCTACGTCCTTGCCGCCACCAGCAGACCGGACTTGATCGA